GAGTCAAATTTTCAGACTAACAAGACAAATAATCTTACACATTCTGAAAACAAGATGATTATTCTTACACAATCAGTTCTTGTTTAGTAAATCAGTCTGAAAAAAGACTTTTTGGCTGATATAAGGTTTTAAAACTTGGTTAGTGGACAGTTTTTACAGTGTACCAACACACATCCTGAGCACCAACAGATCTTTGTTTCAGTGGTGCAGCTAACAGCTAACAGCTAACAGCTAACAGCTAACAGCTAACAGACAGAACTTATTCTAAATAAAAAGTCTCATAAAACACAGACAGATTTTACACCTCTTAATAAAAGAAAGACTTAAAGTCAACAAACGTGACAGACTCTGAGGTAAAGTGTGACACCTGGTAGTAGCTGAGAGTGATCCACATCATGCTGTCTGCATTATGTAATGAAGCTGCTGGATTAAAGCCATGCTGACAGAATAACACAGCTCTCTGCTCGTCTCTCCTGATGATTTAGAGTTTCTCCTCWCATCACTGTCTGCTCGTCACCTTTGGCCTCATCGTTCGATAAGGACAGAGTGACACACAGCAGCCTAACAGCCTGTCGTTTATTCTGCTCAGATAGAGCTGTTTGTTGTCAACGTGCWGATAAAGTGTGAAGTTGGTGTCAAAAAGAAATATGACACAGCTCYGACAATCAGAGAGGGAAAATGAAGCTCTGTGTTGTTTTATCTGCTCTCTGCTCCGTGCAGATTGTGTTTCTTATCACAGCTCTGAGGGAGGAGTGAACAAACACCAGGAAACAATCCCATTATAAATARTGATGTATGAATCCCTGCCTCAGTGATGCATTAAAAACAAAACTTTAAAAGAAACTATCAGTGTGAACAGAGTCTGAAGCTCAGGACACTTAGCAGGACTGAATCCTTCACTTAAAGAGAAGCTGCCTGATAAGCTCCTCCCACTGCAGCACCTGACGAGAAGAAACCTTTATTTTCAGTCGGAGGAAAACATTGATTCACAGATTTGTTGTTTTTTTTACCACGTGAGACAGAAGTGTATGAGGTGCTGTTTGTAAAGTTACAGTCAAAAATTACCACCAATATTTTTGTTTTATTTAACCTTTTATAAGAAAAAAGAACAGATTTATTTTTCAAAGTCAGTTTTTCACCATATGATTCATACATTTATAAATGTATGAATCATATGGTGAAAACTGACTTTGAAAAATAAATCTGTTCTTTTTTTCTTATAAAAGGCTAAATAAAACAAAAATATTGGTGGTAATTTTGACTGTAACTTTACAAACGGCAGCCCATAGAAGTGCAGATGTTTACCCACAATGCACTGCAGCAAACATCGAATCATCCTAAACTKCTCCTCCAGCTGTCGGCACAGAGGTGGAGGTTCATGGTTTGGCTTTGAATAAATATGATGATGAAATGAGTCATTTTGTTTCTTCAGGTTAGATGAAATCACCTGATGAACAGCAGATATGTTTTTATTTGTTTTGATGTTTAAAACTGCAGGAATGAAAGAAGAAACTAAAGAAGTTTTAATGTTACAGAACACACAGGCTGTTTCTTCTCTCTGAAAAGTGTTGAATCAGATTTGATCAGCCCCTTCCTGCTGTGGGATGATGAAATGTTTGTTTGTTTGTTTGTCCTCAGCGTTGTGTACTGAAGAGTGTGTCCACGGTCGCTGTGTGTCTCCTGAAACCTGCCAGTGTGAGCCCGGCTGGGGGGGGCTGGACTGCTCCAGTGGTGAGTTCTCATGAAACCACGTTAAAAACAGCTTCACACACAGAAACCAGGAGAAACACCAACCTGGACTCATGATTTTCTAACAAAAATACATTTAATTAGGTTTTAAAGCAAAGCAAACCAAACATTTTCACAGTTTATCCTCTGAAACGTTGTCACTGCTCACATGTTGCATCTTTAAAACAACAAACACTGAAGCTGCTCCTGCTTCCTGCAGCTGTGGAAAACTTTGTTTTTGTGACTCAGAATACTGATATTAACAGATT